AAGTTGGAATTCTCTCAAAGAGTTGATTTTTACACGGGTATATATCTCCGGGGGCGAACTTGAACTCCTCTTGATGAATTGCAAAAATCTTGAAAGTTTGGGTGTGCATTACGCAACAGAGTTAACAACTTTGGAAATTAGGGGTCCATCTCTTGCATTACAACACTTGGAAATTTCCTATTGTCCCTTGGAAACCCTTACTATAAGCAGTGTTAATCTTATTTCCCTTAAGATTGATCGGCCAGAAGCACTAGTGCTTAAGAATGTTTCCCAGATCACTCATTTTGGGATCTCCTCTACTTGTTACGTCATTGAGGATATTGTTCGTCGACTTTCATGCTGCTTTTCAAAGCTTGAGGTTCTTTCTTTAGTAATGGGTCCTTCGGTGGTTAGAGAGGTATGAATCTAGCTGATTGTGTTACTGGAGTAATTTTCTTTCCCTAGTTTTGCTCTATGATGATTTCTAAGTTCTATTTAATTATTTTTGCTGCATCCTATGTTGAGCAATTTTTTTCACCCAGTATGATTGGAAAACTACCTCAGCTATCCGCACCGAAGCAGCTATCTCTAATGCTTGTATTAACTTCTAAAGAGAGCATGTTTGGATGTACTTCGTTCTTTAGGGCATCACCAAACCTGGAGAAGTTTGTAATACAGGTAATAGATATTTATATTTGATGTTCCTTTTCTGGCTTTAGACCCCTCAGTGTAGTTATTATTCTTTTATGTTTGATTTTTTTCCTCTCGTACTTTCACCCTTCTAAGATCTTGTTCTGGTAATTTTGTGGTACCATTGAAGTGAACTGGTTTGTCAGCCTTATGCTTGCTAAGTGACCATGTTATGTTTCTACAGCTAGGTTACCCATTGCAAATAAGGGCCAGCAGAGAGTCGGAGAATGTTGTAAATTACCCTGTTCGACATCTTAGGGTGGTTGAGATATCTCAATTTCGAGGCCGTTCAATCGAACTCGAACTAATCAAGTACTTCCTTGAAAATGCAAGTTCCCTCCAGAAAATAACTGTTGATCCACATTACAAGCTGTTTGGATCTTTGGAATATATGGATCTATTCTCCAGCCCTCGCCACGCAATCGGGCAGCCGAGGTGACAAATGAGGCCGAAGGTGTCTTGAGCAGCTCTTAGGAGGGATGCCTTCACATGTAACATTACAAATACTCTAGCTATGAACATGGGCATGATGGTCTGGTCTCGGAAGGAACTAAGCTTATCAAAATAAGCTTTGATTTCAATGTTAAGCTAAGCTCGGGAATATCTGAAAATAGCACCGAAATGTTTGATTCAAATCTTTTACTACCGAAATGTCGTAACTATGCTTTTGTTGCTCTTTGTGTAATAAGACTCCCACGGATAATCAACTCAAATTGTTTTTGCCAGATTTTTAACAATCAAACTTGATTAAGTGCAGTGTGTCAAACTTTCTTGATGTTAGATACTTTTCTGTCCGAGAAAAATTGTTTATTTTGTCAATAGAATTGATCGTGCTTTTCGGATGTAGTAATATTATGTTCATAACGAAAGATGTAGCTGAAATCGATTATAATATTAGATCTAAAACATGAATACGTAGTTGCTACTCTCGCCCTACTTCAATAGTTATCCTCGTTGTTTTGTTTCATAATAAGTCAATCTATCACAGCGTTTAATCCAAAATCAAAGTATACTTGTCTTCGCATAATCTTGAAAAAGGTCCTTCTCTTGCATTTTCTTTCTCTTACATTTGTTTCGCAATTTTCTTTCTCTAAAAGGTCCTCTCTTCCACTTTTTTTTTCCCAAAAATGCATATTTCTCCCTCTAAAAATAATTATCCAATTTTGAATATTTTTGTTCCCATGTTGCTGTTTATGCCAAAATTAATAAACAAATAGACCTTGGTACCAAAAACGAAACAAATGATTATCGATTATTAGTGGTCGAAAAATAGAACAAAACTTTCGATTATTTCCATACATTTAGTCCAATTCAAATATTGGAACCGGTTGAAGGTTTACTCTCGAAGAATAGTACTCCTCCGTCCGAATAGTTTTCTTTTTTATATATTAAGGGATCTTGAAATGGTGTGAGCATGACTTTAACAGAGTTATGAAATTATTTATGTGGATATCGCATTATCTAGTTCTGTAACCAAAATTTCTCCCTTTAGTGAACATTAATTGTATCCTCATAACAAACCAAACCAAAAATACTCGCAATCATGGTACAATGCAGTTGTAGGTCTTGTAACCTTCAAATAGCATGAGAGATTATTTACCCCGTTGTTTCACTCAGCCAAAGGATCTTTAAAGGAATTCCCGTGGAACAGTTTTGTTATATTTTCTGAAGTTAAATCTGTAAAAGCCACAAATAAGTTCGTGATGTTATTATGTACTCGAAATACTCCTAGGTCTCATCCAAAAGCAATTCAGAAAGCCGTATAAATTTCAAAAGCTTCAGAACATCTTGTTGGGGCTGTACTTGGAATCCATTAAGCTGCATTGTACATTCTGCATGTACTAATCTTTAGGCACTTTTGCTGGTATCTCTACCATCCAAAGATCAATTAACAGTGCGGTTCCATCAATCGATTTATTGGTGATCCTAATGAGTCTAGCTATTATTTTCTCCATGGCCTTTTTCCATTTTGGTGCTGCAAAGGAAAGAATGAGTAACAGAAATAGACCATACATGACAAGCATAAAAGAAGCAACATTAGTGTGCTATATTGCGAAACCAGATGACAACCCCAAGCTACATGAATTCTCGTTGTGATCAAAGGAGCAAAGAAAACCTCTATAACAAGAGAGCTGGAATTACTCGGAAAGTCGAACAGAGACAATGCTTAAAACAAAATATTTGGTAATGGGTAATCCAAGAGAGAGGTATTTTTAATCGACTAAACCATAGAAAACGTCCCGTACATTTGGCCAAAAAATCATTTTCGTCCCGTACACTTCAAAATGTTCATTTTCGTCCCATTTCGTCCGTATTTTTCGATTATTTACGTCCCAAGTCAATTTTCCGTCCACTTGACCGTCAAAATGGGGGCATTTTCGTTTTAACCCCATTTTTCGATTTTCCAAGAATTAAGAAATTAAATAATAATTAAATAAATTAATTAAAATATTATTATATTTATGATTATAAAAGAAAGAAAAATAAAATTCTATGCTTTAGACCGGGTGGGCCCAGTAATTTAATGTTTCTACAGTTATCTTCAGTAAAACCGTAATCATATTAAATAATAAAAATATTCAAAATTAAAGAATTTCCAAATTTAGAAAATTTGGCTGCATTTAACTTGTGGGCCGGTAGAGATTAGAAGACATGATTATTCCTGGTCTCCAAATTGAAAATTTTTTTTTTACTTGCTAAGAAGCAATTGGCGAGATGTTTTTAGCCAAAAAAGAAAAGAAATTTATCATAATATTCTGTTTAAGTGACATCCGATAAATTCTTCAGAATTTATAATTTTGGGAAAGAAGGCTCAACAGCTTTTCGATCAGTTGAATTGCATCTTCTGTTTGTTTGTATTGATTTGTTGAAATTGTTGCCGGAAAAGAAGTGAAAAAAAAAAACACAAAATCCATGATAATCCCATTAAGATATCTACTTGAACTAAATTCATACATCAACAAAATCCATAATAATCCCATTAAGAAGATTGGCCAGAACAGAACAAACGAATTGCAGATTCTAACAAGTAAAAATGTCCAAATCTCCAGAATCCCTAATTCCCCAACTAAAGAAACCCTTACCGCCGAACCCATAGAGAGTAAGGCCTTGCCTCTTGAGAGCATACACCCGTGGAGAATACCTCTTGAGAGAAACCCAAATCTCTCTTCCCTTCGACCCCCTTCGCCTCCGGCAAATTCAGTCCATATCAAAATTTGACCACATAGGAGGTACAATCCCAATACAATGAACTAATCGACACAAATAAAAAAGATCCAGTCCATATCAAATTAAAAATAAAAAGTATATCCGATGGGTGCTCCTTATTCTTGAATTCCCAGGCAAAATCCTCAACAAACGAGCATCGTCGTATGCTCGGATGCCCGATTAGAACAAGATGGCGTTGTTGCTTATAAATCCTGGGAAGAAGAAGAAGAATGGATATGATGACGGTGGGGATGGCCGCAATGGCTAACTTTGGGTTGTGGAAAGAGAGAGAATGGGAAAACGCGGTGGTCATAGCCTCAGAGGGAACACGATATTAAGGAAAAAACTACTATTAAATTAACTTTAGGATTACTGTAGCAACGTGGGTAAAAGGTTAAATGGAGTCAAATTTTTTTAAATTTCGAATTTTGGTTTCTTTATTATTTTAATATATTTACGATTTACTGTAGCTAATAATAAAAAATTATATCACTAGGCCCCAGCGGGTAAAAGATATAAAATTTAAAAATATTTTTAATTAATTTTATTATTATTTTATGTCTTAATTACTGAAAAATAAAAAGGGCTTAAAGACGAAAATGTCCCCCATTTTGACGGTTAATTAGACGGAAAATTGACTTGGGACGTAAATAGTCGAAAAATATCGTTTTTTGGACAAAATGGGATGAAAATGAGAATTTTAAAATGTACGGGACGAAAATAATTTTTTGGCCAAATATACGAGACGTTTTCGTAGTTTAGTCTTTTAATCATTGTTATCCACTTACATCTCTTTTCCATCACGGGCAAGGCAATTAGGGCGAAACTAAGCTTTCAACATACATCTTCGCTTCTTGAATAAAATCTACCTGATGATACCTCCTCAAAGTGTTGGTCTTTGGGTCACAAAGATACAAAGTTGAGCGCAAAACACACAATATTTCACCATTCTTTGATGTACAAACCGGTTGACTGAAGTAAGAAATAGGATCATCCCCATAACGAGCAGAAACTGAAAGAACTTTGATCCAAGAGTCCTTCCGTAACCATACATCTACATGAGTACCTCCATAATCATAGATAACATAAAGACAGCCTCCTATCTCTCCAAATCCATAGTCATATTAGCTATCGTTGTTCTTTGGGGGACGGTCCATGATCCCATACGTTTCATTCCCCAAATCGAAACTAGCAATCATCCAATCGTCAACTCCATCATTGGTAGACCAATAAAAGGTTCCACTCACATAATGCACCGGTTTGTCATACGCTGGAGTAATGACCTCCAAATCCTCAATCTTGCGCCAAGAACTAGTTTTAACACTGTACATATTGACTTTATTGTCCACAAATTCAACCACTTTATAGTCGTCATTCAAGGAATCATAACCAAATCCAAGAGTGTTACTTTTTCTGATTTCAGACCCAGGCAATTTCTTAAATTTCTTAGTACAAGGGTTACACAAAATCAACTCCCTATCCATATTAATCAAGCAGACAAGTCCGTTACAAGAATCTACCACCCAAAATAACTCATAAGGTTGTAATATATAATCGATATTAAATACCTCAGCAGCAGCGGTCGTTTCATCGAACACCTCATTCAGCAAAGAACTCGCAGAGTACAGCCGGTGTTGGAATCTATTGTCCGTGAACTCATACAAGATGAGACGGTGGTGGGAAAAATCATCACTTTCAGCTGAATCGGCGAGATGGGTTTTGATAAATCCTTGGCTTGAGATCAAAGAAAGCCATGGTTTTGAAACACACTTGAATTTCCCAAGGATTTAGCTGGCAGTCTTGAAATGATTTCAATGGCGATTTCGTCGGGGAAATCGGGCATCAATAATTCGGGGTCTGATTCGAGATTAGGAGTAGAGGAAGAAGAGGGACAGTCCTCCATAAGCTGATTGATTTGGTTTCTATTTGGTGGGTCTGATTTGGATTCCATGGCTGCTTGGGACAGTCTGGAAATGGGTTGAATTTTCTCGCTTCTGTATTCTCACTATTGGGGAAGACTGCGAAGTAAACCCGGAAATGGATGTGCTTGAAAAGAGTAAAAGGAGTGTATATTTTTTTAAAAAAAAAAAACTAAAATGTTCAAACAGTCCCTTACAATTGGGCCTACTCGAATTTACGTCCCTTATATTAACATTTCAATATCGTAGTCCCAGACATTATGTTTTCACACTTTTTTAGTCCCATTTCACTGTTTCCGGCCATTGACATGCCGGAATCAGGGATATTTTTGTCTTTTAATTTAATTTAAATTTTTATTAAAATTTAAATCATTAAAAATATTTTAAAATTCAAATTTCATTATTTAATTGTTAAAATATTATTTATAATTAAAAATATTATTGTACAATTTTAAAATTTCTCATTATTTTCAAAATTACTTTTTTTATTTACTATTTACTTTAAGTACACATTAAATAGTAATTATGTTGCACTTTTAATTTTGGGTCCACTGTAACTTAAAAAATTAACCAAGTTACAGTAAATAATTCAAAAATTCAATTATTTTTTTTTAAAAAAAGAAAAATAAAAAGAAAAACTTTTCTTTACTCTGACCGCTACAGTAAACCCTAAATGGTAATTATGTTACACTTTTAACATTGTACCCACTGCAACTTAAAAAATATACCGAGTTACAGTAAATAATTCAAATTTTTTTAAAAAAAAGAGAAAACAAACCAAGATTTTTTTACTTTGACCGCTACAAGAAAACCCTAAATGGTAATTATAATACACTTTTAACCTTGGACTCACTGTGACTTAAAAAATTACCGAGTTATAGTAAATAATTCAAAATTCAATTTTTTTTTAAAAAAAAAAGGCAAAACAACGATTTATTTTACTCTGACCCCTATAGTAAACCCTAAATGGTAATTATGTCGCACTTTTAACCTTTGATCCATCAGTAACTTAAAAATTTACCGAGTTACAAGAAATAATTCAAAATTCAATTTTTTTCAAAAAAGGAAAATCGAGATTTTTTTACTCGACCGCTACGTTATTTTTTTAACGCTGGACCTACAATAACTTAAAAATTGATCGAGTTACATAAATCATTCAAAATTAAAATTTTTTTAAAAAAAAGAAAAAAGCAAAACAAAGTAATTGACCGCTACAAGAAACCCTTATGTTGCACTTTTAACCTTGGACCCAATGTAACTTAAAAATTTGTCGAGTTACGATTAATAATTCAAAATTCAATCAGAGTAGTCAAAGTAAAAAAGATCTTGGTTTTGTTTTTCTTTTTTTTTTAAAATGAATTTTAAATTATTTACTGTAACTCGGTAAATTTTTTAAGTTATAGTGGGTCCAAGGTTAAAAGTGCAACATAATTACCATTTAAGGTTTACTATAGCGGTCAGAGTAAGAGAAAAGTGGTTTGGCTTTTTCTCTTTTTTTAAATAAATTGAATTTTGAATTATTTACTGTAACTGGCTAAATTTTTTAAGTTACAGTGGTTCCAAGGTTAAAAGTACAATATAATTACTATTTACTTTGACCTAAAATAAATGATTAACGAAAAAATTAATTTTAAAAATAATGTAAATTTTAAAATTTTATAATAATATTTTTAATTAATAAATAATATTTTAACAATTAAATAATGAAATCTGAATTTTAAAATATTTTTAATGATTTAAATTTTTATTAAAATTTAAATTAAATTAAAAGAAAAAAATACCCCTGATTCCGAAATGTCAACAGTCGGAAATAGTGAAATGGGACCAAAAAAGTGCGAAAACATAATGTTTGGGACTACGATATTGAAATGTTAATGTAAGGGGCGTAAATTCAAATAGGCCCAAATGTAAGGGACCATTTGGACATTTTAGTCTTAAATATTTATTTTTGGGGAATTTTGTGTTTATCTATTGACTGTTATACCCATTTTTTAAATCGTTGAAATCATCGGGAGTCTCTCAGCCAATCAAAATATTAGTTTATCATTGGAATATAATTGGCACCGGTTCTTTTATAAGAATAGGGATAATAGGGATTATTAGTACAACGAAGGAGTCCAAAACCTAAGAAACTAAACTATTTTGTGAATGGGAACTTCTAACAAAGTCATGTTCTAACCACATAATTAAGATCAAGCCTAACAAGAAAGAATCAAACGCTTCTCTTCTGGGTTCAATGCAAGAGATGACCCTGAAATTTCACAAACTAATCTCTACTTAGTACTTTGTTAATAACTCATATGATCTCTTTATAAATACACAATACATCCTCTTAATCTTGTGACATCCATAATTCAAATAATGCCACCACGTCTAAACCATTCTTTTTAACTTACTTTGTGAATGAAATCCTAAATTTAAGAAAATAAAATGTTTGGTTATTTAATTTATTTTTACCTCTTACTCTCCGGCCATCACATGCTCACTAATATCCTATCCTAACTGCACTCTATAATATCTTACCCAAACATATAGAATATAAGAACATTACCAATTTTTTTTCTTTTTCTAGTGCAAAACATATTGCTACATGCTGTTTAAAAATCATATACATACATGTCTAAACCAAAATATATGTAAACCCGTAATCATTTATATAAAATACTCCCTCTGTCCTAAAATTATTGTCTAGTTTGAGATTTCACTTTTGGTACAATTTGAACTAAAATGAAAATTCAAACTAGACAATAATTTTGGGACGAAAGGAGTAATAATTTACTCTCTTATTATATTATCGTAAAGCAAGATATTGAATTTTTGCTAACATAATGTTCATTTTAATCAAGTTATGGTCTAGCAAATAACGGGTTTGATTAGTATACAAGGAAGCAAAAAATGAAGGGGAAAAAAATGAAATAAATTCGGTTTTGTGTCAAATTATATCCGAGTAGTTTTAAGTTTTCTTTTTCATCATACACTATAAAGTAACACAGACGGTTGATTACACAGAGTAAGAAAACAGAGTGCGAGATATAACCACCATGGCGAATCAAGCCTTCTCTGATGTGCGCACTAAACAACCGTCGAAGATGGAATCGGCGGTCCAACTCCACCAGACAACTTCCTCCGGCAGCCGACTCCTCCACAACGGCTTCGCTAAAGTCCCACATTCAACTACTGGACTTACCGGGACTCTTCCTGCTCTGTTTCCGGGAAAGAATCGTTCCGATCAACTCTCAGATGGTTCTTTGGCGGATTCGTTGATCAAGAACCCATTGCCGGACGAAGACCACGGAGTGCAGCCGTCTAAGGAAACTCTTCACCGTACATACTCTGAACCCATTCCGGCAGTTGCAATCGCCGCCACCCCAGGCCTCCCGGAGCTGCGAGAGAGGTTTCTTTTCCGGCTGGCCTTCCGAAAAGGCCTAATACTAAGGTTGTTTCTTGGTTCTTGAAGATAATGTAACTCTGTTAACTTTATATTTCTCTGATTTCGAACCAAAGTTCCTTCCTTTTATCTTTACCCAATTTAATGGTCCAATTAACCTTGATTTTGTCAATGTTGCAGAGTTTTGGAAGATTGCCGGAAGAACTTATGAGAGAAATGGGTTGCCGGAGAAGCAATATACTCTGTGTTGATTCGGCGATTGGTGGTCAATTTCAGAGCTCGATCAAGAATTCCTTGCCCATTTCGACGCAGGCGTCTCCCAAACCTCTTTACAGTCTATGCTCCGAACCCACTCCGGCGGTTGCAAAGTCTGCCACTCCGGTAGTTTCTCGGTTCTTGATAATTACGTAGCAAAAACTGTCTCTGATTTTGAACCAAAGTTTTGCCCTTTCTGTTATGTGCTCAATTTAATCATCCAATCGATCTTGGTTTTGTTAATTTTTCAGAGGTTTGGTATATTGCCGGAGGAACGACTGGGTTCTACGGTTAAAGAACAACAAAGCAGAGCACCCAGTGTTGATCTTGGGACTAGTGGACAAATTGAGGCGGCGCCCAACAATTCCGTGCCGGAGGAGGTTACATCTTTACCCATTCCGGCGGCTTCTCAGGCGGTGGCTGCAAAAGTTTCTGTTACAGGTGGCGTTGTTCAGAAGCAAGAAAGCCCTGTTACTAAGGTGGGTTTCTCAGTTCTTCACAATTTTGTTTAACTCTGTTAAAACAAATTTGATCTTTGATAGGAATGTTCTTGCTTTCTTTACTGCCGGAAGTAATTGAATCCGAATTCGAGTTTTCAGGGGTTCAGGAAAATCACAGATGGACTGAGAAGCTGGTTGAGGAACTCCCTCTTCGCCGGTGAAGCCTCAGCCATGGCGACACCCAACAATCCGGGGCTTCCAACGTCCTTTCCTCCACCACGCCGTCCTCCGATTCCGGATCCACCGCCGTTCTGGAGATCCATCTTCAAGCTTCCGCTCATTCGCACAAAACTCCCAGACGTTAGCCTCACCACTTCTTCTCCGGCACCACTTTCAGCGCCCCTTGCACCACGCCCATCAGGAGATCAACTGAGAAGGATAGTAGTACTAACTTGTTTGGACGATTGCCAAAGGCTGAGGTTTCAGTATCAACATCAAAATTTCCGTCCGTCCCTCCTCATCATCCAAGCCGCCGACCCTGATGTAGTGCAATCGATGTATGACGAAGTTCGGGAGCTGGAGATTGATACTCGATTTGGACCCGTATAGAAAGAGAGGAGGACGATTAAGGATATGTTGTAGTTGTTGCATTAGGGGTTTTGCTTTCTTTTCAGTAGTAAAGTTGCCACTCCACTGTAATTCCATTAGGATATCTCTACTGCTTTCCAAATTATAATTTCCATTTGCATCTGCAATCTGCAGTTGGAAAAATCCCAGTATAATTCCATTTGCATTTCACTTTTACCGATAGTAAACTGGAGATAACAAATCCATTTGTTCCTCTTTTCTTCCCTACATTATATTCATCAGATTTAAATGTTTCGACCCACTTTTAATTGAGAATTCTATGAGTGTCAAAGGGAAGCAATCACAATTATACTTTATATAA